CCTGAGTTGAAGGGGGACCCGGAGGGACCCACCCCCCTTCCCCCCCCGGACGCTGGCGCACCCGTTTCTGAGGTTCCGGGAAGTGCCTGGCGGTTGGTGCCCGGTCCCCTTTCTCCATTGCAACCAGGAAGTGCCGTTCCTGTGGCCTGTTGGGCACCCCAGACGGGCCGCTTAGGGGGAAACACCTCCTAACAGTGGCTTTTCCTTCTTTTCCAGGTACCCCCCAAAAGTTATGGACAAAATACTTAGTATGGCCGAAGGCATCAAAGTGACAGATGCTCCAATCCATACCACACGAGACGAACTGGTTGCCAAGGTGAAGAAAAGAGGGATATCAAGTAGCAATGGTTAGCAGATCATAGATGTGAACATACATAGGAGTTTAGAACATAAGTTTGATGCCATTAGGAATTGTTACTAGTTTTTGTAACGATCTGGAATTTACGTAATGTTAAAATCAAGTGAAATGTCAAAACTGAATCCTGTGTCTGAGTTTTAGCCTCTGCCTTTGATAAGTTTTCCTTTAACTGCTTTTAGATTTTGAAGTGTCAAATGTCTGTGTTGTTGATTTTTTAATGTTAGAAATGAATGATGCTCTTTGGTGCTGTTTGAGAAATTAATGAAGTTATTCTACATGTTTTGTTTATTTTTAAATTAAGGGACCAGGGAAAGCTGCCTTTTTTTTTTAATTTTTTAATTGATTGTAGAGAGAGGAGGGGAGGGAGAGAGAAAGAGGAAAACATCCATCGGTTGCTGATCAGATCACACGCACCCTGACTGGGATCAAACCTGCAGCCTGAGATGTGCCCTGACCGGGAATCAAACCAGCCACCTTTTGATGTACTGGATGAAGCGCCGACCAACTAAACCACACTGGCCAAGGCTATTCCACCCGTTCTAAAGAAACTACTGGTTCTGAAATATATTTGCCTTGTGCCTTTATTTTAATGAGTATCTGTCTTCTAAATTTTTAGCTGGTGTGTATGAGGTGGACTAGTCACATATCTGTTTTCCTTTTTTTTTTTTTAGAAGGGATAGAAGAGCCAACGAAAAAACGAGTTATAGAAGGAAATAATTCTGCAGTTGAGCAAGATCATGCAAAAGTTTCTGCCAAAACAGAACATGCATCAGCTCTG